AATATAATATAATATAATATATTATACAATATAATATAATATAAATTATATATAAACTATATTTTATATTTATACATATATATATATATAACTGACTCTTCGAAACCTAGCATTCTTCGCACCCAAGCACCGTCACCACGACTGTCATTATCGTAGCCAGTCGCTCATAAGCGCTTTCCTTATTGCTCTAGGCTTTGCATGCGGGCACAAGCAGAATGTGCACTGACGGCGTTTGTGCTGGGACAAGTCGCAGTCGCAAGAGGTGCTGGAGCAGGAGGGAGCAACTCAGTCCACACATAGCTTTGGTCGAACTATACGGTTTTGGAACTGCGGGCTATAGCTCGAGAACACGTTGAAAGGAAGCAAGGCGCGATCCACTGCATCGCGTGGATGTATTGAGCTTGACCACTCAGATGCCAAACGTCGGCAATATCTATCCTCAACTTCCGAGTTGTCCCAAAGCAATGCAGTGAAATGCCAGCTTGCCCGACCTCTGAGCTTGCCATGCGCACCCGGCTGGCCGCTAGGTAAACCAACGCTTTTAGTTCGTCAAAGGCTCCAACTGTTCATCGTAGGTGGGCCCGGGCTTGACACAGCCTGACATACAACACGGCTCAAGCCCCACCAGTATCAGCAAACTCCCATGCTCAAGGGCGGTTCCGACTGAGCTTTCACTGACTGGACCAAAGCATGCATGTGTATGCGCACACTTGCACAGGATGCTCAGTGAGGGACTTTGCCCAAACCCCACCATGCGCAGGCAAGGAAGTGGAGCACCATCCTGCAATGTTAGCGAAGCTGCAAGCAGCAGGAAATAGCCCACCCATGAGGTGCTGCCAAGATCAGCCGAGCATCACGATGGTCAGCAGCATCTTTCCCACCGTGAAGGCCAGGATGAGCCACTGTCGTCCCATCGAGATCAACTGCGAGCGGGTGAAGGCATGAACTTTTATGGAAGCCCAGAGCACCAAAACCAAACCCTGAACGAACACAGGCAGTCCAGAACCATTCACGCAAGGCAGATCCGGAGAAGACAGAGACGAGTTAAGCAAGTTCATTCACTGACTCGACTGGAAACTGGGCTGCCAGCCGTGTTTTCCAGTACCACGTTGATTTTGCCGGCTTTGAGAAGGCGCAGGATGCGGAGTGATCCTTGGCCGGCACAGGAGCGTCAGCCTCAGCGTGTGCCTTTCCCTGCTTTCCAAGCGGCGGAAGACCCGCAGGAAACGGGCCGATCGGAACGGCTGCAGGACGCCACCCATTTCCTGGAGCAGAAGGGGGCTTCGGCCCCGTTTCATGCCGAAATCCTGAGTTCTGGACTCTCGAGACTCTGAAACCGAACACATCTAGTGTATGAAACCCAGCCACCTGACAATTTTACAATGGAACCCCAAGACAAACACCAACCAATACACCGAAGTGTGTCAACGATTACACATCACAAACCGCGACCCTTTCCGCGACCTGGACACTTTATGGTAGAAGAATGCGATCCGACCCTAGAAAGCATAGGCCTGCCATGGCCTGCCAAGGGTTGTTCAACCCCGGCCCTTCGATCTGTCTCTACCAACAGCCCTGGCCCCGCAAAGGCCCAGTCTCCATGCTCTTCCCTTTCTGACCACATACTCACTCTCTGTCTGCCTACCTTGCCTCATTCCTCAATGGGTTGATGGTTTGATGGCCTTGATTGCTGCAACTTGGTTGGACCACCACCGCTAGAAACTGCAACGCGAGGCAGCGGTTCCGTAAGGTTCGACGTTACCAGCGCCTCCACTCACTCTACTCGAGAACTCCACTCACAACTCTGAATTGTGACTTCTGTGAAAGGGGGTTGCGGGGCCGGGGTTCCTCCGAGGCGGTCGAGAGAGCCAATGCAAAGTCCAGCATGACCACGGTAAAGTCGAAGGGAAGCCAGGAGCGCATGTAGCGTCTGGCTATGGCCTTACGAAGCATTGCCGGGCAGTACACATGCAATGACGGTGCTTGTGGCATCGTTTTGCTCCCATTGCCGCTAAGATGCGGAACGACGAGTCTCAAGCACAGAGCCCGAATAAAAGGCGGTGTTGAAATTTAGAATGATGTCCTTGGCAAGAGAGGGTTCGTAGCCCTGCGTTACAGGATTGCACCTCGCCGAAGGTTCTAGCCTCTACTTACTCTGGGCGACAATCTGCAAAACCAAGTGTCCAATGGCCAGAACACCATCGCGATTGCACTAAAAACCTGCACGATCGCCTTGCCAAAAGACATATTTGTCTGCTCTTCCAGCTCCCATGCAATGGCTGCCGGCAGCAAGAAAGAGTCCATCACGATCAACCAAATGCTCGCAATGTCCCAGGCAACTCGGATTTTGTCGCCTGGCTTGACCACGGGCAACTTACACCTGTTCGTCAGCTCGGTGGCATACATCATCCCACTGAACCGCCGGGTCGTCTTCTGGTTTCTCTGTGTCAAATTGCTTTTGATCCTATCTTTGCCCAAGGCTTCGACGACCCCGTTCGTCTTGTTGGACAGCTCCATCATGTGGGAGTTCAATCGGAGGTGCGACAGCCCGGAAGCACTCTGCAGTGCCAATGCCGACTGCCGCAGGACCAGGGCACCGATCCTCGAGACCAGGCACAAGTCGCTTCGGACCCTACAAGGGGATTTCCGAAAATAGGGGACCCTAATATAGTACCCTAAATAGTAGGCTCCTTATTATGAGGACCCCACAATAAGGTACCCCTAAGTTTCGGAAACTCCTACGAGTAGCGAAGTCTTGAGTCGCCGGGGAGCGGGAGCTCATCTTTGGATTCCTCTTGAGGGGCACTGAGAGCGTCTTCCCTCAAGATCCAGTTCTCGAGCACGTCAGCAGGCTCTGGATCCACATCGGTCTCATCGGGCAACCTGCTCAAGCAGGAGATTCTCCGTGCAGGTGCTGCCACGAGCAGCCGAAGAAGCTGTTTTAAGCAACGCCAAAACTTGCGCTTCGATCTCAGGCTGCAGCAAGCTATCACGATCGCGAAGGTACTCAGCAACTTCTCCCTGAATCGTGTCTTCCACGTTGCGAACCTCAAGTCAGGAGACATGCGCCAGGCATGCAACTTCCCATTCAGCTAGCCCTCTCCGTGCTCTCGACGAAGTCGTCTATTCTGTGGTTCACGGGAGGAGCACGGTTGCTGGGTCTAAATTCTACCTAGATCAATGGCTACACTTCCCTGCGGCCACTTGTGAGACGACGTTCTCGGGGCGCAGTCGTCAAGGGCTGGTGCATGACACATTGCGGGCAAGCAACACGCCTCTGAAGCTCGTCGAACGTATTTTTCAATTCTTCATCGAGCTCCGCAAAACCTCCAGCTGTTCTTCGCCATCTGCTCTAGGAGCCCAGTGGAAGGAGTATGACTTTGCCTCTCTAAGACTCTAAGGCCCTGGCGCGTCGTCAAGAGATTTTGAAGTTGCATGGCTTGGCAGACTACAGCATCCAGCTTTCTTGGTGCTCCTTAGGCCCCTCGTGTGTATGTGAGTGAGTGTGCCTGTGCGCACACCTCTCCCATGTTTCGGGTCAATGTGCGCCATGCCCACTCGTGATGTCATGATGTCACGGGTCTTCCACTGCATACTTGTCAAAAACTTCTCGCCGACTTCTCGCTACCAGTGGCTGCGGCGGCGTCCGTGCAACCAAGCTTCGTACTGGACAATCCCTCCACGCGGCAGCAAGGATTTGACGAACAGCCGGGATGCACCAGCAAGGATAGCCACATCCAGAATGCGCACATACTGTTCCTATCGATTTGAGTGATCCAGCCCTAGCGGTCGCAGGTTCATCTCCTGCTCCCCACGTACACAACCAGCCCAGACATGTCGGAGCAACAGCGAAGGGTGGCTAACGAACCTCCTCAAGTTGCCCTCCGCCGAGCAGGGTGCATCCTGAAGCCAAGGGCGACAGGGAGGGGTGAAGAGTGGTTTTGGAGCCCTGTTTGAGCCGTCTTGTTTATGCTGCCGCGGGGCGCCCTGTTTTGAGGCAACCTGGTATAGAATAGGGAATTCCCATCTAAACGCTGCTGTTTTGCAGCAGGCCAGCTAGGAATAGCAGTGAGTCAGTCATACTGGAAATGAGGGTGGTAGTCGTCGTAGTCGTCGTCGTCGCTCACATCGCCGTCGCCATCATCGTCGCATATTCGTAGCAGTTGTACCAGGCGTGTGGGCAGGACAGTCCTCTTTTGCAAACACAACGATGGAATGACCGATCTGCAAAAAAACAGTTGGGTGTTGCAAGAGGTTCTTCACAGCAAGCATCACAAGGCTTTACAATGAAGACGGAGGTTGGGGGAGCGCAGAGCTATTTGCCAACACAAAGGTCGGGTGCCGGGCTTCAAATCCTTTAGGCCGTAACCTAACAGTTAATCATATGGCTTAAACTCACCTCCTCATTAGGCGATGGCGGCTGATCACATTTCTTACTCTTGCTCCTCAAGCTATGGCAATTGAGTTGATCACATTGCTTACGCCCACCTCCTCATGAGACGAAGCACACCAGACATGAGAACATCTTCGAATAGATGCGTGAGAAACCAAGCGAAACAGATAGAGAGAGTACATCCCTGGCGAAGGCCACGGGTTTGGGTAAACTGCGAGGAGGAGTGTAAAATAAGATTTTGATGACGCAAAGAGGGTGGAACTCCCATATACTCCAAGGAGCCATTTCTGCGAAGGTGACGGAGTCAAACGCTTTGGCCCAGTCAAGAAAATTGCATGAAAAGACTCAGTTTGACGCTCATGGACCTCAAGGAGACCACGGAGAACATGAATGGGCTGTGACTGATAGGCCCCACGAGAGAAGCAATGGTTGTAGTGATCAAGTAGGTAACGGCGGAAGACATACGGTGCGGGAGGGCCAGGGGCCCTGCGATTTTGGCGCGCGTAGGACTATCTTAAGCTCTTCCATCGTAAATGGGTGGGCTGTTTGCGGAAGAGATTGCCGTGAGGTAGTCTTCAGGAGTTGGCGCTTTGCAGACTTGATTTGCCAAATAATCGGCGAATGTAATGTTTCGGCCCTAGACGGTCGAGGAACCAAACTGCCATTTTTGTTGCAGGAAATTCGTAGGGGATGGGCGGAAGTTTGCAGAGAGTGCGCGCGGTGCGCCACTCCTGAATAGCGCAGCCATGAAAATCTCCCTGGAGACTGTTAAGGCTTAACTGTTTTTTGTCGCGGCGAGCGAGTTTCCTCATTTTGTTGCGGTGTTGTTTGACCTCTTGGGCCGTTTCAGAGGAGCTCCAGGGCATTTTTCGGGGAGGTGGGAGGTTTGGGATGAGAGGGGTATGTGAGGCAATACTAAAATCAAAGAACTCCTTAGTATGATTTAGTACAATATACCCCAAAACCCTATTCTAATTATTAACTTATTCTGGGCGTCTGGGCAAAGCCAGGGTTCCGAAGAGTGTCCAATCTCGGGGGGAGAGCGCAGCAGTGCGAGAGAAAGAGAAACGGCCAAGGGAGCCAGACTCGTGCACTTCTTTCTTGGCGAGTGAGTCTGCCAATTTGTTACGAAAGTATTGCTGGGCAAGTGCAACCAGTTGTTGGTGTATTAGGGAGAGAACCGCCCAAAATGAGCCGGAGAGAGTACTCTGAATCGGTGTATATGGAAACATTTTCTCTCCTTAAGATATTCTGTCTTCATGTCTGCCTTCCTTCCTTTCTCGATTTCCTTCTCGCTGCGTGCCTGGATGGCCAGATCTCAGCACCCAAAGCTCGAAAGGAAAAACAACGAGGGGCCCCAAAACCAGAAACTACAAGTACTTGAAGGTTCATGGGTAGTTACAAGTAGGGCTATAAGTCCCCTAATTTGGGTTATAATTATACTTACCCCTACTTATAATTACCTATGAACCTCCAAGTAGCTTCCCTGAACAGAGAACAGCAGGTTGGCCGCCGCTAAGGCGCTGACCACCAGCACAGCCTGGCTCAGTTTTGGAGGGGAGAAGGGAGAATTGCTGCTTGCAGCGAACTATGCCGGACAAGATTTGCCGGGCATACGTCGAAGCAGTTTGTCGCGAGGTCACCCACATCACGACCATCACTGCCAACAACCTCAGTCGTGCTTCGAATACCGGCACCGTCCTGACGCGTGAGCTTGTAAAGACCACATCGACACATGGAAGTGCACCCAAGTCCCCAGTAAGCTCAACACCAGGCAATTGGCAACACCAGCCTCGGCTTGCTAGGTGCCGGGTTGAAGGGAAAGCCTGGCCGCGAACTCGTGGGGCTTTGGCGCGCAACATGTTCGCAAAGAGCACGCGCCGCCGAGAGTCGTCTGGCTCGTTTGCTACCTCAGAGACTTCAGGCTCAGAACAGCTTCTTTGGCTTGCGGCAGTCAAATAGGGCGATGGCAACTTGCGAAGACCTGAGCCGAGCTAAGGAGTATGCTGCTCTAGCTCCAGATGGACCACTGTCACTGCCCACTTGGTTCCATGACTCCAAAAGCGTCGCGAGCAGACTCGCCTGTCCGATGTCCAACAAAACACACTTGAGAAGAGGTCCACGCAAGCCAGGGGAAGGAAGCGGAGCAGGGAAACCTTCAGTGGGCCAGCGGGTTTTTGGAGCACGCGCAAAGGGTCCTGTTCGGTATGCTAACACCAATCAGTGCGCACTTCATGGCACCAAACCGGAGGGTCTAGGGTAGGGTTTAGACGAACAAACCAAGGTTTTCGCACCTTATAGGCACGAAACCGGAGGGTTCAGGGTAGGAGGGCTTACGGCTGGCATACAGGGTTGCCCCCCCAGCACCTCATTTTCGGGTTTACGGCTTTGCCAGCCACGCGGGCTTCCTACCCAACAACTCGTTTTAGGCTTCTAAGGGCTTGCCGGCGGCTTCCCACCCGACAGCTCCTTTTGGGTCTGGGGCCTTGCCAGGCAGCATCTGCTTTTAGAGCTCAGGGTCTAAGGCTTCCCACCCACCTTTAAGGTTTGCTCTGCCTTCCTCGCTTTTGACACACACACACAAGGCCAGGCCAGGCTCCACACAATCCAAGCTCACTTCAGCAGTGACTGAGTGCGCACGCGACAAACAACCAGAACCCTCGCTGTAGGGTTTCATCTTCGGGGCGACTTTCGGGTCTCTTCTTGAGCCTCCCGCCCTGTTTCCTTCCTTTCTTGCTTCCTGTCCCTTTTACTCTCCTACTAGTTACTGGTAGTTGTCTTGGTTCTTGCTCCTTCCTTCCGGCCTTCCTTCATTCCGCCCACCGCTCCCCCGCACGAGACGAACATCGCGCGTGCACGTTGGACTTCGCTGTCGAGGTGGGGGGGCATTGAAGGGTGGGGGAGATTGCTTGTTGCCTCTCAATCCATCATCCATCATGTTTTCATTGCGTGTGGAAGGGGGTCTCCCTTTTCTTAGAAAAAGCATGCCTGCAAAGAGTGATTTCGGACCGGGTCCCGTTTTGGACCTAGAACACCCTTTCTTCTTTGGGTGCATTGGTAGACGACCACCGCTGCCCCAGGGTCTTCAGAGCTTCGTGACCAGACTCATACGGACCCTGCGGACCCCTGCGCCTTGCTGCCAGGCGCCGAGCAAAGGTCGAGGACTAGCTCGGGAGCCGGTTTGGCGTCCTCCCGGTTCCGAGCCACTTCATCCCGACAGTATGGCTCACCGCCTGCCAAATTCAACCCCGTAAGCCGTAAGCGGATATGCTGCCTTGATCTACTTGAGCTAGTCTCACATGCTGTCGTCTGTTGCATGCAGCACTCCACGACAGAGAAGCTAGGTACTGACATGTCCAGACTGAGAAGTACCGAGTCCGTACAGGGGCCGTGCTTGCATGCCCCTGTACTGCCTGCGAGCCTGCACCTAGGAACACTTCCTAGCAGCTTTCGAAGATAAGAGCTATAGTCTAGTTTTCGTTTCGTGCCTGCACAGCACGTGCCAAAGCAATGGCGGGCAGCATGGATGTCGGCTCTTGGCTGTAGACCTGCAAGGGTCTTGTGCTCGTCATCTTCAAGACCAGACTCCCGCACTGAAAAGAAAAACGATTTGGGGGCCGGGGAGTCGCGCACGGGCCACAGTTAATTCGCACAACGACCCGATTTTTTTCGCATAAGCGCGGCAGATTCGCGCACGAAGGACACGGTGGATTCCCGGCAGTTTCAAGGCTTACAGTAGCGACTCAGGAGGTCCCAGTTTCAGCTACAAGTACGCGGGACTTTCTCGGTGCGAATAAAGGAACGAAGACTGAAAGATCAACCGCGACAAGCCACTGTATCTGCCCCCGCAAAGGACAGATGGCGAGGGAAACTCCAGTCTGTTCTTTAGATTTATCGTCGACGTCCCCTTTTCCGTCTCGCAAGAGAATAGGGCTTGTGCGGGATTCTGTTGTATAACTACCCCTCGACCCGAAAACAACAAAGCAAGGTGGGCAGCGACCTGAGCATCCGGGGATTGGACGTTAGGAGAGTGTACGAGCATGAGAGGAGGCCCCCGAAGCCCAAAGGAAGATGCGAAACCTGAACCCTGAAAGTGGATGAGTGGCAGAATCTGCACAAGAGAATTAGGGCAATTCGGGCCGGGGGCGGCAACTCGAAGCAAAAAAGGAGGGCCCCACACCCCAAGCCCTGAAGGTGCAAAAACCTACCCAAACAACCCCAGACCCTAAAAGCTGATGAGGAGTTGGTGGTGGTGCTGCCTAGGTTGGTGCTTTGTCATTTGCGCTTGCTTCGAAGGTCGGCGCTCGAATCGGGAGCGGTTGTCTCGAATCCGCATCGCGAGTGCTTGAATCGGAAGCGCAGTTGAGGTGTTGGTGACTGCCTGTGCTTGAAACACGCGCTTCGATTCAGACTTGGTCCTTAAATCGACAGCACTCGAACAGGTGGCTGCTCGAATCGGGGCTGGTCGTGCTGTTGCGCTTTGCAAGAAGCCTCGCTGACAAATGAATTGAATCCCGATACTTTTCCGAGCGTTTGAAGAAACTGCGTTTGAAGAAACTGCGTTTGAAGAAACTGCGTTTGAAGAAACTACGTTTGAAGAAACTGCGGTACCCTGTAACAGTCACCTCAACGCTTTGAGCCCGGCTGGATGCGCACCAGCGTTTACAATTAGTTACCCCGAGCCCCCGACAGCCCTGGCCCTTGTGGCTACACCCCCTGGCCTCCCCCGTCAAGTGCTCAACCGTGCTGCCAATGTCCTTGCTGGGATACCACATGATACCACGAACAGAAAAAGCAATACAAGTGGTCGTTGCAAAGCGCAGGCATTCATCACCAGAGCGTTCAAGGGTCCCGAGGCCGCAGTTCAGCACTTTTTCTTTGCTGAGTGCTGCATGCTTCGGCACCTGAAAGGAAGAATGCCCTTGGAGGGCCGCGTTGCGCAAAGCCTTTGTGAGGCTTCGCTCCTCAACCGAGCCGCGGTTCTCGCTGGGCTGCAATCAGCGAATGCTTCCCGTGTTTAGTTGATGGTGGGGCCCTTGGCGGTACGGGCAAGAGCCATCTATCGCCTTTTAAGGCTTCCTCCAACCCCCTCCCTGTGTCCGCGATGAGTAAAGCAGCAGTCCTGACCGGAGCCAGAGAGAAGAAATCCGTCGGAGTACCAGGGCAGCGGATGGACGCCCCATCCCATGTTCCTGACGGTTTGCCACGAACAGACGAACATCATGCCACACCACGGCTGAATGCCTGATCACCGTCAGGATGTCTCGACTAGCCTTCGAAACTCTTGCGAAAGCCACAAGTCACGGAGCCGACTGCTGCCGGCCTTGCGTGGGTTGAGACGGAGAGTCTGCCCGGGTCTCCGCAACACAGCCTCGCGACGGCAACGACTCAAACGGTACGGATCGGTACGGATTCGAGAGCGAAATCATAAATCAAGGACCTGGCCCGCACAAAGCGTCGCAGCCCCAGGCCTGAAATCAAGCCTCAGTAGAAGTCGCGCCGCGCCCAGTTCTCTGCGGTGTTCCATGGTGTTCCTGAACACTTAGCTAGATGACCTTACCGTTACTCGTTGGCCACAGCTTCCGGTCAAGAGGGATGCACCTTCAAAGTGAGCAGAGTCGGTGGTTCAGCCATGTTCAACCCAGTCTTCCTGACAAGCTAGATTACCCGCTTGGGGCTGTAGTTTAGGATTGCTCGCGACGAGCCCAAGACTAGCTGGCTCCCTCAGGTCGCCTTTCGCTGATCGTCGTTCTCCGTTCTCCCCGAGTTTCGGCAGTCTCCGGGCCCGTCTTCCCGCCGCAAAGTGTTGCAAGACGAAAAAGCTGCCGTCAGCATGAGACTATGCTGCTGGGACTGAGCTGTGAACCGCAGGCGGCTACGACATGATGCAGGAAGGCTCTCGGAACCTGGGCCCACATCTCAGCACTTCGACCCAACTCCATCAGCACTGAACGCCTCCGGAGCTCGTCGCAGGCAGCCACCTGCCGGGGAGTGCTCTGGCGGCTTTCTCCACGATTCTGGGGACCTGGCCTTGGCTGGGCTGCGATGGCACATTCTGGAGCCTGTGCCTCTCGAGAGGTTGAGAAGGCTCCTAAAGTGGGGGATACCCTAATACCCCAATACCCTTTTTTGCATCAGGACTTGTGCAATCGCCATACCCTAAACCCTAAACGCTAAACTCGACTTCCCTAATACCCTAATACCCTAAACCCTAGTTTTCACGCAAATCGCAGCCTGGAATCTAGACCTCGGAACATTGCATGGCTGCGACTGGTGGAGATTGCTCCTGTTAGCTTGCTTGTGCTTGCTTGTGCTTGCTTGTGCTTGCTTGCTAAAGTACAAGTCTAAGTAGCGCTCACACTGCGGGTTTGAATGTCTTGTGCTCTGGAAGCTGGACACGTGCATAGCTTCGTTTTTTTTTCAGCGCGTGGCGCGCTCTGGGATCGATGGACGTGCCACGCAGAGGACAAGCCATCAACACTCAAGAGGAGCTTCAGTACGCAAACTGGGTTGCTGCGATCCTCCCTTCGCGAACCCTTTGCCCTTATGCAGAGCAGATTCCTGCCTTTTTCTCATGCACGCACCAGCTCCCGCCTGGTGACTTTCGTCCCTTGGATCCCGATCGGATCTCATCCCTTAGCTTTCTTGGCGGGCAGACACACCTCCAAAAGAAGCAGCGAAACAGGACTGCAGCTCATGAAAGATGTCTTCCGCACACAACAAGATTCGACAAGTCAACCGGTCAGGCTTGCAGTGTCCTGACTGAGGGTCCTGTCTGTGCCAGGTTGCAGGGAGCTCGTCCTGCGTCGGAGCTCCCTCAGCAGGCCCAGCGCAGAGGCTGTCTTGACTTCTTTGTGACACGTGTCCTTCGGCAGCGAAACCGAATACAGTCGCCGCAAGACGTGCTATCCACGGTTATCCACGGGGGGCTCCTGTGGAAGAGCTTCTGCAAAGCTCTCGAGCTCGCCCCGCAGGAACTGCGCCGCCGCGTCCAGGAGGGAAGCTTGCCTCCGCATGGGTTCAGCATCCGATGGGGAAGCTATGGCAGTGACCACTTGCGGTTCGGGCAGGAGCAGCCCTGTGGAAGTGTGCTCATCGCTACCTGGCTCAGACGCTCCGCGGTGCACTTCAAACACTGCAAGGGCGCGACAGCCAAAACCTGGCGGCGAGGCCGGAGCTCCGGGGGCCTGGCGCTCCCAACCAAATTCGATTGCAACTCCGATTGCGACTGCAGTTGACCCTGCAGGGACCCGGAAACACCCCGGGCCCGGGACCAACAAGACTTTGACAAAAGCATGCGGCTACGAAAGGATCGCGGGAGCCGCCCCTGCGAACTAACACTGCTTGTGGACTATCATGCGGACACCCTCATGCCCGAATCGAACTAGTGCGGCTCCGGCAGGACTGTTGAACGTGAGGCAGTGGTCACAGCGCAGGCCCTTTGATGCCCTGCGGAGCGCAGCTCGGCTGCCACTCCCTACACGAAGCCAGGCGCCGACACTGCAGTTGAGGAAACATGCCGTGCGAGTGGCAACTGCTATCGACTGATCTGAACACGTTCGTGCCACGTTCACGCGCAAAAAGGTGTGAGCTCTGCAGTGCGACATCCCTGGACAGACTAGACGCTACTCAACTTGATTTGCTGCGGCCTCGCTGCGCGACTTCTGCAAAGCCCAGTTCGCCGATGGCCGCAATTAGTTCGGCGGAGGCATCTGGACGAGACTCGCAAAGGTTCTGGATTCGGCCTTCTTTTAGGACGCTACACACGCAGGACCCGGCCTGACCAGCTGAAGCTCGCCTGTGCAAACGGCCAGGCTGCACCACAGCCCACTCCGATCATGCAATGCCTGCCTCGGCATCCTTCAAAAGGTCTTTATGATGTTGCTCTCGCTGCAGCTGCCTTGCTGAGGAGCATGGGGGCCAACGCCCCCCGTTGCAATCGGCCCGTGCCTCAACCGCTGCTCCTGGCGCTCGACTCGCAGACACAGGTCTCGAGCCTGCCAAGGACGCTTTATGACGCTTTCCTTCCCTCACCGACACCAGCACGCGCGCACGCCGTTTTGCCGCGGGAACCTTTGCCTTGGCGCGTTGACTTCGAAGCGCGGCTTCCAGAGCAGCGGTCTCCGTCAAGGCTGCCTTGAGCTGCGCCTGAGCTCGCACAAGCGTCATCACCATGGTCATGGAGGTTGCTTATATAGAGAGAAACGACGAAGCGACAGTAACTGCTTATTGCGCAAATTCTACGTAAGGCCCGCTGCGTCTCGGCTGGCAGCACGATTTTGAAGATCCTGGATTCGTTCACTGGCCTCTGCTCTCGCCGCTTCCTGCAGCGAACTCTGATCGATCTGAAGAACTCCCCTGTGAACTTCCGACACCTTGCTTGCGCAGCGGCATCGACATTTTTGCAGCTGTATGCGCCTGCCTCCTCCTTTGGGATGCATGCTTGGGAACCCACGACGCAACAAGCCGGCCACCGCGACAGCAAGAGCAGTCGGAGCAGCCCAGAACTAGGAACGACTCTTGTTGTTCCGCGTGTATGGATGCGGTCGCATCCTCATGACAAGAGTTGACTCTGGTGAGATCTGGTAGCGGGAGGCCAACGAATCTTCTTTCAGGATCTTGCCCTCGTGGGAAAGCCCGAACATATCCTCAGACAGCCCGGGACAGCCCGTCTTGTCAACGATGGTTCTCTTGACCTCAACAACGGGCTTCTGCAAGTCCACTTTGATTACGATTGTCTTGTTCTGTAGGTCTTTGACAAAAGCCTGGACAAGCTCGTCATCGTGACCTGACATTATCGATTCCAGTGCTTGCCTGGCTTTTTCTGCGTCAGCTTGTGCTTTCGATGCTAGCTGCGAGGTTAGCTCTGCCTGCACCTGTGCTCGGATCAGTGTCGAGCTGCGGTCCTTCTCTCGCAGCTCACGCCTGAGATCGGCAAGCTGCCCGTGATGGCATGCAGCCTGCGACCGGAGATTGCCAACAAGCTGTTCCTGTTGAAGAATATCCCTTCTCAGTGATTGAATTATGCAGGCTTGCTCTGCCACTTTCTTCTCCTTCAACTCGAGCCTCCGGGCCAAGTCTGCTCTCTGAAGCACCAAACATGTAGCCTCGTGTCCTGCGCAGGCGTCCTGCGGACCTGACCATCCACAGCTCTCGCGAAAGCGCGGGCAACGTACAAGGACTTCATCAAGCAGGGTCTGAACTAAATGATTGGGATTCATCTCCCAGGAGTTCAACGGAGATCTGCACGTGGGACAGCGGGCGTCTCGCTGTAACGCACGCTCGATGCAGTCTCGACAGAAAACGTGCTGGCAAATGGATGACACGGGCTTCACGAAGACCTCCGTGCAAATCACGCATCTCAACGCTTTGGATACGGCCTGTGGGTTCAGCAGCTGCTCGTCAGGAAGACCCATGGCAGCGGAGAAGCTCTGAGCTTGTTACAGCTTGGAATATTTGCCAGGCATGAGCGGCATGAGGAGATTCTGACGTCTTACATGGGATGACATGCCCTTTTACGTCTATCAACGTAAATGGCCGAGGCTGCTCCTCCCACCGCACTGCCTGCAGAATATGCTTCCCTGCCACACTGCCACCTACAGTCATGCAAATGCTGCCACGCCTCTGTGGTAACTCCTCGGGCCTGCAGGCTGCCAATGGCTGCCAGGCTTCGGACTATTCTCACGAGTATGACTATTATTACGATTATTACTATATTATTACTATATTATCACTATTACTTGTAATTGCTATATTATTATATTACACTATTATTACTATATTATTATTATTATTATGATTATTATTATTATTATGATTATTATTATTATTTTATTATTATATTATTACTATATTATTCTATTATTATATTATTACTATATTATTACTGTATTATTCCTATTTTATTATTATATTACTAGTATATTATTACTATTATTCAGGTGGACAAATAAACGAGGCCCTGGCCTGCTCGGTAAAGGCCCCCTGTATCAACGCACGTCACAGTTACTATTTGGAGGTTCATGGGTAGTTATAAGTGGGGTTTATGGGGTTCCTTTAAGGGTTCCTTTAAATGGTTCCTTTAAAGGGTTCTATAGGGTTTAGGGTTTAGGGGTAGTTATAAGTATGGTTATAAGTCCCCAAAATATGGGATATAACTATAGTTACCTTACTTAT